AATCAGAGAGAGAGAGAGAGAGAGAGAGAGAGAGAGAGAGAGAGAGAGAGAGAGAGAGAGAGAGAGAGAGAGAGAGAGACAGAGAGAGAGAGAGGGGTGTGCGTGTGAGACAAAGAGAGAGAGAGACCGGGAGAGAGAGACACAGAGAGAGAGAGAGTGAGAGAGAGAGAGAGAGAGAGAGATGGGGATACACACAAAGAGATAGACAGGAAGGAAGGCGAACATACAAACAGACAGACAAACACAAATAGGAACAGTTGGAGCAATGAGGATGAAGAACGCGCATGCGTAGGAGAGACAGCTCACGATCGAGAGAAGCACGACCCACAGAGATATAACGGACGACACGTGCATGGCATCACCTGAGCAGAGCTGCTACCTGTAGGATCCGCAGACCCACTCACAGATTGCGAAAACAAAGAAGATGAGTCACACAGCGTGAGTCACTCCTCCTCCCCCCCCCCAACCCCACCGCCGCCTACCCACGGGTACTCACAGCACAAGTCATATCACAGAAATGCTATACATCTCACAGACATTCTTCATTACAGGAATTTTGTTGTTGTAACAGTTTTACGGCACTTGCAAAACACCCCCCCAAAAAACCCCAAAACAAAACAAACAACAACAACAAAAACAACAACAACAAACAAACACGGAAGAATGCAACCACCCACATGTCTCAACTACGTCTTAGTTTTAGTAAGAATTTTACGGCACTTGCAACACAATAAGATCATATAAGTGCCGAAGATTAGAGGTGTTACAAGAGAGTAACAAACAAAAAAGAAGGAGCGGAGATAAAGACTACAGATGTTTGATAGGAAAGAAGGAGTAAAGCACACCAGAGCTCCCGCCAAACACCCACTGCGCTTTGATGAAACCGCCCACCAGGAGAGATCGGCACAATGAAACAGAGGAAAACGAGTTTTTATTTGAACGTTTTAGTAAGTTTTACGGCACTTGCAACATAATCAGGGTGTATAAGTGCCGAAGACCAAAATGCGTTACTAGAGAGTAACATAATACCCCCCCCCCCAAAAAAAAGGGGGGGGGGGCAGATAAAGACGCTATACGTTCGGTGGGGAAGAAGTAGCAAAGCACATGAGAGCACCCACCAACCATCCACGAACTCGAAAGTAACAAAATGGAAGGGAGTGACGGGTGGGAGTGGAAGAGAGATAAGAACGATAGATGTTTGATTAAAAAAGTGGAGCAAAACACACATACAAGAAAGTCACAAATGAATGAGTGAGTGAATGAATGAATGCATGAATGAATAAATTAAAAATAAATAAATAAATAAAAATTAACATGGAGGAGGAGAGATAGGGACGATAGAAGTTGAGTAGGAATGGACGACAGATAAGGACGATATGTTTGATAGGAATGGAGGAGAGAACTGATAAGGACGATATATGTTAGATAGGAAAGGAGGAGGGATAAAAACGACATACGTTTGATAGTAAAAAAGGAGAGATAAGGCGATAGATATTCGATGGGGAAGGAGGAATTCTTTGCCATATCGACAGATCGAAGGGCTAGAACCCAAATTGCCGCTGGATCGGAAGAGTAAGTAAAGTATGGGGAAGGAGGAAAGATCACGACAATAGATATTTGTTAGAACAGAAGGGGGAACAAAGCACACGAAAACACCCGCCAACCACACATAAGCTATCAACAGACAGCAACAACAACAACAACAAAAACAACAACAACAACAGGAGAAGTGGAGATAGAAATTTGATAGGAAAGGATGAGAAATCACATCGATAGATATTTGATAGGAAAGAAAGAAAGACAAGGTAAGATAAGACAATACTCTATTGTCCCAGAGGGAAAATTCTCTTGGCTAAAGATCACGACAATAGACCACCCGCCAGCCACCCATAAGCCAACAACAAACAACATCAACAGCAACAACAAACATACAACACAACAACATCAAAAACAGCTTCAACAATATTGTGAATGAAGAGCTCAGCCCATGTTGCCGAAGATGCGGCCATAAAAAGGAGGATGTCAAACATATGTTTGAATGTCCAGGAACAAAGGCAATTCGAATGGAGTTATTTGGACGAGTGGAGGTGCCTATGAGTTTAATGACAAAGGAGCCGAAAAAAGAGCCTTGCTCTCGCTCGAAGATTTCTTCGTGGAGTCCACCAGGCCCATTAAGGAAACACAAAAAACCCAACAACAACAACAGACAACAACAACAGCAAAAACAACAACATCAACAATAACAACAACAAAAATAAAAACAATCTACTGACCTTCTAGAATATGCTGCTGCACCAGGGACTGTCGGTCCGGCCTGTGCTGTATCTTGTGTCTCAGGAGGTCGCCGGTCTGTGGAGGGAGAACACAAGGTCAGGGTTAAGGTCAGGGTCAGTGTCAAGGTCAGAATCAGGTCAAGGTCAGCTCCTTGTACTTGGTCAGGGTTTCAGTTAAAGTAAACGTTTTACTACGGCACTTAGTTTTAGTAAGAGTTTTACGGAACTTGCAAATCAATGAAGTCATGTAAGTGCCGAAGAATAGATGTGTTACAAGAGAGTAACATAAACAAAACAAAAAAAGAATGAGGAGTGATTAGGACGACAAATGTTTGATAGGAAGGAAGGATCAAACAACACCAGAGCACCCGCCAACCACTCACTGAGTGTCCGTTTGAACAGGTGATTGTCTTATACAGGTGATTGTCTTATACAGTGGACCTTTCGAGCATGATCCACTGTACCAGCACAAATAATGACCCTGGACGTTTGACACAAACCGAAGAGCTCATGGTACTATTTGTCCGTTTGTTTGTTTGTTTGTTTTTTGTTGGAAGAGAAGGGCATTGACACTGCAATGGTCATTCAGTGCAAGAGGAAAGAAGTAAAGAAGACAGACTGGACCGAAGGAGAGACAGAAAAGAACAAAAGGAGAGAAAGAAAAAGGCAGAATCTGTCACTGCTGCCCTCCAGCCATCCGCCGGCTCGGTATGTTACACACACATACACACACACTCTCTCTCTCTTTCTCTCTCTCTCTCTCTCTCACACACACACACACACACACATACACAAACACACAAACAAGCATACACATACACACACACACAATCATACAAATACACACACACATACACACACAGACGTACACTCACACACATACACACTCACGGTACATACACATACACACACTCACACACACATACATACACACTCACACACATACACACACATACACACACCCACACATACACACTCACACAAACACGTATACACATACACACGTACACTCACACACATACACACAAGCATACACAAACTCTCTCACACACAAACACACACACAAGCACACATACACACACAAGCACTCACACACATACACACTCACACACACACAAGCATTCACCCCAATTCATGAAGGACAATCTGGCTGGCCCCGAATCAATCCGGCGAATCAAATCGCCCGTGTGCACTGGGTATAAGCATCTCTGTTTTTCGTTTTTTGTTTTGTTTTAATACGAGTTTTACGGCACTTGCAACACAATAAGGTCATATAGGTGCCTCAAGATTAGAGTTGTTACAAGAGAGTAACAGACATAAAAATGAACGAGTAGATATCAGGACGATAGATGTTTGATAGGGAAAAAAAAAGGAGCAAACCACACCAGAGCACCCGCCAACCACCCAGTAAACATTTCCCTCTCAATGTATCCAGTGGGAGAGATCGCCAACGGAGGAAGACGGAGAGGAGGACCGGGAATTCGCCAGCACCAGACACACGGCCGTAAACAAGCCAGGACGCCGTGCCGGCGGAAAGTGGCGTAAAATGAGGGGCCGTCCCTGACAGTTGCCGCGACGGCCAGGCATATTTGGCGGGACTTTTTGTGGGCTGCTAGTAGTGGTGGGCAAAATCCGGATAACTGGATACTTCTCAGTGAAACATTATCCAAATTCAGACTCTTGAACTCTCTTTCCTGACCCGTTGGTTGAAGTGGGTGCACCTAGGCTTTCTCAGTCTGAGAAGGCCTAGGGGTGCACCCATATTATAAAGTGGTTCTTCTAACCCATTTGCTGAAGCGGTTCAAGACACATTTAATCGCAGAAGAGGTGCACTAACAGTATGGGGCTCTCGTGGCCTAGAAGTTAAGGTGTTGGCCTCTCATTCAAAAGGTCCCGGGTTCGAATCCGGGTAGAGCGACCGAAAAATTTCCTCTAAAATTGTCTCCTTTCACCTTCTTTCCTGCTCTCCAGCAATGTTCTGTTGTCTGCTTTCATTTCCACTTTCTGCCCTAACCCCCTCACCTCCTTTGCCCCCTCCTCTGGGCTCCTGACTCT